GTAGTACATACGTTTGGGGAAAAAAGGACTGTTTACATAAACATAAAGCACACAATTAGGGGAGAACGGGTCTGCTGTTAGGGACTTGAATACTGTACAAAAATGCACACACACACACACACACACACCCCCAAACACCCCACACACCCACCACACACAAACACATTTCACCCCACACCACACATATTTCACACACACACCCACCAAAAACAACAAACACATAGATACACGCGCACAAAATATACAGGATTTTTCACCTTCCCGTGAAGTGCCCTATAACCCTTTTTTCCCCCCCCCTTTCCCTTTTCCTCTTCCTCTCTTTTTCCTCTCTTTCCTCTCTCTCTCCCTCCTCCTCTCTCTCTCTCCTCTCTCTCTTCCTCTCTCTCTCTTTTCTCTTTCTCTTCTCACCCCTCTCCCCCCTGTCCCCCTCTCTTTTCCTTTTACTCTTCTCTTCCCCTTTTTTTTATCTCCCTCTCTCTTCCCCTTTTCACCCCCCCTCCCCTCTCTTTAAACCCTTTTTCCCCCTTCTCACCCCTTTTCCCCCCCTTTTTCCCTTTTTTTTTCCCCTCCCTTTTAGGCTCCCCCTTTTCTCTTCCCTATCTCTCACCCCTCCCCCTTTTTTTTTTTTCTCTCTCTCTTTTACTAAAAAAAAAAAAAGGTTGGGGCCGCAGGAATCAGGATCAGAAAGACAAGGTACTATTAGGGAGGGAAAGGGTGGAGGAACCCGTGGAAAAGGATAGAGCAAGAATGGGGGGGAGAAAATTAGGAGACTTTCTGAAAAAATGTAGAAGAGCTCTCTTTTGAAATTTGGGGGAAAGGTTGGGGGAAGGGACGAAGAATTGGGAGGCACCCAAATCGAAAAAATGCATTGCCCGGGTAAAAGGTTTTCCAAGGGAAATTTTAGGGGGAAAACTTGGAAAACCCAAATTCAAAGGGGTGAGACCAGAGAAGGAAAACCATAAAGAAGATTAGAGGCTGAAAAGGGAAAGGGAAAGGGGAAAATGGGAAAAATGCTAAGGTCATAAACAAACCCCGCAAAGAAGGGGCCCGGGGAGTGGAAGGGAAAGCAGAAAGGGGGCAGTGGGGAGGGAGATAAAGGGCGAAAGCTGAGGCAAACCATGCTACCAAGAGCCCCTGGAAAAATCAAGGGGGAAATGACCCTACAGACAGGAAAACCCGGTCACAGAGGGGAGGCAAAAGGGGGAAGGAAAGGGGAAAAACAGTGATTATTTCCCTTTGGGGTTTTAGGAGGGGAGGGAAAGGGCACACACTGAAAGACGGCAGGAAGAAAAAGGGGATTTTTAGAAAAAAATCACGGAAAAAGGGGGGGAAGACATGGATAGATTGTAAAATTTTTAGAAATATGGGGGTTTCTTGAAGGGGGGAAAAACCGGGCCGATCAAGTTGATTCTCAGGAAAAAAACAGTGCGGGGCAGGATCCTCCAAGAGAAATCCCGGTTAAAAAACTCGGAAGAGTACAAGAAGGTGTTCCTAGAAGAGACAGAACACAAACAAGAGAAGCACTGAGGAGAGGACAAAAAAGCAAAGGGCTAGGAAAGGAAAAAGGATGGAACCACAGAGGTCATCAAGAGAAAAAGGCAGCAAGGGCAAGACACACACAACTATCTCAAACCCCCCAAAACCCTTTACACCTCCCAACACACAATACAATCCATACCCCCAGCTTCCAACCCCAACCCCCCCCAAAAATCCCACAGTATGTACCCGGTTCCCACCCCACAGGCCCCCCAAAACCCAGTGTTGGGAAAAGGGAAATAAGGTATGGACACAAACGCGATGGAAAAAAAAATGGGGGGAGTGGCACGAAAGAGTCAAAGGGCTCACCCAAAATCATAGCGATCACAGAAACCCCAAATTACAGGGATGATAACAGATGCCATCTTTCCTGGAATACCCCGTTTGAGAAAAGACAAAAAAAACAGGGGGGTGGAGGAGTGGCATTGCCGATCAAATACCAAAGGAATTTTGATGAGCGGAAGAGGAGACAGGGGAAGAAAGTGATTACTTCGGGAACGCTTCACTTGGTGGTCCCCCAAGGGGGATAATTTCATGAGTTAAAACCCCCACAGAAAGCAGGGGGCCAAGGGAAAAGTTGACGAGGCAATAGAGCGATGGTTGAACAGGCTGAATGGCGAGAAGGCCACATGCAGGGCAAAGCCCTGATCATGGGCGACTTTAACCAAAAGGACATCGAAGGGAAAACTTGGACCCACATGGGGGCCAAGATCATGGGGGCTAAAATATGGAGGTGGACTGGAAAACTTCACTCCCAACACTAAGGGACACTAAAAGAGAGAGAGAGAGGATGACCAGAAAAGACTGGTTTTAGTATACCCCTTGAGTAGTGAAGATATTGGGACATTCACTTAAAAGACCCCTTGGGCCAGCGATCATGGGGTTTTTGAGCTTGAATAACAGTAGGTACAAGTGGGGGGGGAAGGGGAAAGGCGGAAAAATGAAACCAACTACAGGAAAGGGAACTAACAGGAATGGGGAATTTCCTAAATGGGTTCGGGGGAAGAGAATGGCAGGGAAGCCTTTAAATGGATGATGGAATATGTAGAAAAAATGTGAAGGAGGTGAGGAGGGTTTACAAGGGGTAAGAGAAAAAATAAAAAAGCCAGGATGAGCCCAGGTTCCCCCAAAATGCAAGGAGGCAAAATCAAGTGTGCTAGGGAGGGAAGAAATATAGAAGGCAAAGGGCCCCAGGAGTAAGGAGAAGTCGTGACCCAGAAATGAATTGCACAGATAAAAAGGGGAGGCCCAACGTAATATGAAAACACATACAGAAAAAAGCCAAATCTGAGAAAAGCGTTATAGGGGCCCCAAAAATCGGGAAAGAAAAAAACCCGTCAAGGCCAGGTCATCAGCAAAAAAGGAAGGGGGAGAGAAACAAAAATGCCCGTGAAGTATGTGGGGAATCAACAAGAGATTCAAAGAATGTTCCCGAGGAGCAGAAGAGGCTCCAGAAAGCGGAGGGTGGGGTAACCCCCATGTGCTGGACACAGTCAACACAACCCAGGAAGAATGAAGAGGCTCTGAGTAGCTGATACCCCAAAGGCAAAGGGGGGCCCTAACATCTTTCCATGGGTCCTGAGAGGGGGCAGAGGGGCTATGTGTACCCCCAAACAAATATTCAAAACATCTTGAAACGGGAATTTTCCTGAGGCGGGGAAAAAGCAAATGGGTCCCCCAAACTTTAAAAAAGGAGACGACATGAAGCCACTAAACTAGACCTTTTCACAATGTATAGATGCAAAATCTGGAAAAGATTGTTAGGAAAAATTTGGGGGAAACTAGAAAGGAAAACTCATCACCAGCAGCCAAAATGGGTTTTGAGACGGGAAAAACCCGTGCCACAAACCCAGGAGTTCTATGACATGGGGCAGCAGTAAGCAAAAGAGAGGGGTGGTGGATTCCATTTTTTTGGACGCGAGAAGGCGTTTGACACAGACCCCACAAGAATTTGTGCCAAAAAATAAGGCTAAGCAGGAAACAGGGAAGGCACTGCAATGGTCGGGAATACTTTTCAGGAAGACAGCAGGATAAAGGAGTGGGGGGTGCAGGTGGGGACCCTTTACCAGCGGGGTCCCAAGGGGTCATCCCCAGGGACAGGATGTTTCTGGTATTTGTGAACGAATGACGGGAAGAATAAACTCCGAGGTGTCCCTGTTTGCAGATGACGTAAGTTGAGAGAAGAGTTCATTCGATCGAAGACCCGGCAAAAAAATACAAAAGGATTGGGCGGGTCGACCCGGCCAGCAAATGGGTCCTGGAGTTAATCCCAAGTGCAAGTATGGGATTGGGAAGGGCAAAGAAACCGCAGAGGGGGTACGTTGGGGGCCCGAGACTAAAAACATCCTCAAAGGAAAAAGAAACTTGGGGGGAGTATAACACCGGGCACATCTCCTAAGCGCACATCAAAAATAAATGCCGAGCATATGGGCGCCTGGCAAACCTCAGAAAAAGCATTCCCCCTCTTAAAAAGGAATGTTCAGGCCCGTAACCCTGTACTTAGGCCCAATTTTGGGGGTAGGGGACCCTTTGGAACCCACACTAGCCCAAACATAAAAGAAACTAGAGAAAGTGCAAAGGTTTGCAACAAGCTAGTCCCCGAGTTAAGAGGTTGTCCTAGAGGAGAGGTAAAGGGAAAACAAAATGACGAACTGGAGGAAGGAGAGGGGAGAGGGAATTTACAAAGGGGACAAAGACAGGGTGTTCAGAGAATGGACCCAAAAAGGGGGCAC